GCGCGAGAGCCAATGATGTGCGCGAACGGCGCAGTGTCGAGCCGAGTGGCGGCCTGGCTTGTCTCGCAGGCGCACCTGCCGCCGCCGCCGCCGCCGCCGCCGCGGGCTGAGGTGCAACCACCGCAAGCGTGGCGCCACACACGGTCTCGAAGACCTTGTCGTTCTCGCCCGCAATGCTGCGCAGCTGGGACGCGAGCAGCGCCAGCGTCGACGAGAGCTCCTCGGGGTTATCTTTGGATGCATGCGTGGCGCGGTACTCGAGCTCGCCGGCCACCTCGCGAAGAGCAATGGTGCTGCGCGTGGCGACAGCGACGAGCTGCGTCGCCTCGGCCGTCGTGCGCCGCAGCACATCGAGCATGCCTGCGAGCTTGGCCTTGGCCTGTTGCGCCTCGACCTCGGCGAGCATGGCGTTGCCGAGCGTCTGGATGGTCTCGGAAGCCTCTGCGTCGAACTTTTGGTTGTGCGATGCAGCGACGATGATGCCGCGCTGCATCTGGAGGCTGTTGGACAGGCTGCGGACGCCGGCTGCTGTGGCTTCGTCGTGCAGCGTGCGTTCTTCGGCGGCGACCATCTTGCGGAGCACATCGCGCTCGCCTTCGAGGTCCGAAGGCAGCACCTCTCCACGGGCGCTGAATTGTGACAGATCGGCCTCGACGACGCCGAGACGCTTGCGCAGCTCGGCGATCCTCGTCTCGGACGCGGTTGTGATGGCCTCGAGCGCCGCCTTGTCCGTGACGAGGCGGGTGACGCTGTCTGTGCTCTCGCGCATGCGCTTCTTGGCGTCGTCGACCTCGCGGCCCATCTCTGCACGTTTGCGCTTTTCGGCGGCGGACTCGAGCGAGCCGCGCTCTTGGAGCTTTGTGCGCAGCCGCTCGTTCTCCTCCTTGAGCTCGTGGATGGCCTGTACGTACTGTGCGACGTGGCGATCTACGTTGATCATGTTGCGGCTGACCTTGGTGCGGATGTTTTTGGCCTGGTTGGCGTACTTGAGCGCGTTGTGCGTCTCTTCGTAGTGGGCGCTCGAGGGGCTGATGCAGACGACCATGACGGTCTTGCAGTTGCCGCCGAGCGAGAACTTGAGCAGGCGGGTGAGCTTGGAGTTGCGATAGGGGACGTGCTTGCGGACGCCTCCGGACTGGCAGAGGGCGTTGATGCAATTGCCGAGGGCGAGGAGCGACTTGTTGATGTTGGCGCCCTCCTTCATGCGTGCGCCGTTGTTGCGGGTGGCCGAGGCGCGCTCGGAGCCGGCGAGGTCGATGATGTTGAGCGAGGCGGAGGTGGTCTGTTCGGTCATGCTGGCGGTGCGCGGTTTCTGGGTGACGTTGATCTGGAGGACGGCGTGGGAGCGGGAGCTGACGGCGTTGGCCTCTGTGGGGCTCATGGTGCGGCGGAGGTTGCCTTCCTGGATGTATTCGAGCACGCTCTCTGGGCTTTCGGGGACGAGCTCTGTGATGCCGACGACGGAGATACGGTTGTTGGCGTCTTCGCGCAGGGCGAGGCCGCTGCCCGGTGGCGTGGGTTCTGCGCTGAGGAGGTCGCGGATGGTCTCGTTGTAGATCTCGAGGTAGGAGAGACGGATGTGCACGTCCGAGTCGTCGCGCGCGTCCTGGATGCGGTTGTAGAGCTCCTTCATGGTGAGGAAGATGAGGCCGGGGTCTTGCGGGGTTCCGCTGATGGTGTGCGTCTTTCCGCAGCCGGTGGCGCCGTAGGCAAAGACGCTGGCGTTGTAGCCATTGAGGATGCCGTCGAGGAGAGGCTTGCAGGTTTCTGAAAAGACGTCGGTCTGGGAAGCGGTGGAGTCAAAGACGCGGTCGAAGGCATAGCGGACGTCCTTGTTGCGCCTGTTACCGTGTGCGAGGGGATTGGAGTTGAGGAGGCGGGTGAGCGGGTTGGTGTCGGGAGGATCAAAGACGAGCACCTTTTGATCCATTGGTTTGACGATGGGGCGAACGAAGCGTGTTTTGAGCGTCGAGGTGCCTGCTGTGGATGGAGGGACGACCTTGTTGGGAGAGATGCCACCAGCGAGACCGCCATCGCCGAGGAAGGGAGTATGGTCCTCATTGGGAGCAAGCTGCGACGCCTCCTTCTGGCTGAAGGGGCGAATGCGGACGCACACGTTGATGGAAGATTCGGCCATGGTGAACAGAGTAGTGCTTGCTGCTGCTGCTGCTGCTGCTGCTG